CCAACCACAAATTATATATATATATATATATATATGAGGGAATTGCTTAATTGTTTGAAATTTATTTTTTTATTTTATATTTTATTTTGAATAATTTATTAATGGTGGCCTATATGTTAAGTGAATATTTTTTTCATAATTATGCAAACATTCTTGATCAATTATGCAACATGTTTTTTCGTAATTACTCAAACATTATTGGTCAATTATGAAACAGATTTTTTCATAATTATGTAAATATTTTTAGTCAATTATGAAATATAAATCTTTTATTTTTTAACAAATTACAAATACACTCATAAGGTTTGTTTAAAATATGAATCGGCCATATAATACTAGAAATTACAGATATCGTTTATTATAAATTTTTATTTAACACAATACTCAGGGGAAAAAAAACTATTCTACTATACAATAATAAATTATCAAAATTGTTTATTGAAAAATATTTCTCATATCATTAAAATCTGTTAATTGACTTAATGATTTATTTATTAACAAAATTGTTGACTAAAAAATATTTTTCATATCATTAAAAATTGTTAATTTACTTAATGATTTATTTATTAATAAAATTGATCATTTGTTATATGAATATAAGTTATGTATTAATAAAATTAGTCATTTGTGTATATATATATTTTCTCTTGCTTCTTTATTAGTTAAGTGAATTATCTTAATAGTTTTTTTTTTAGATATGAGAATTATCTTAATATTTGTTTTATATTTATTTATTCAGAAAAGTTACACACCATAATTTTTTTTATAAATTCGGAGGAAATGTTAAAGAATCATAAATTCACCCAAAATGATGGTAATAAAATTAGAGTCTATATCATTGGGTGTATAATAAATCAAAAAATAATACATATCATACCACATAATTTTATTATATATTGAATGTTTTATTCTAATCAATTTCATAGAACAATATTTTAATTTTTAAAAATTATCAAAATATAAAACTCAAATATACTGTAATAATAGCCCGTGCCTTTCTGAACTAGTATATATATATATATTACATTATTAAATTTTGTTATTAGATATTAATCTATTAACATTATTTTGTATTTAAGTTGTAGTACTAACACATAATTTTATTAATTAATTGCTTACAAAGTCAAGGCTTGGGATTATGTGTCTTTAATAAATGTATAAAATCAATTTCATTCAAACTGACGTGGGTAAGCCTATAAAGGCCATAGCCTACTATGAACAATCCAAGCCTATCACTTGGAGCCCAATACATAACCCAGCTAGTAAAGTTCAGAACAGTTGGAATCCAACGTAGCATAAAGAGCCAATGACATTCAGACATACAGCAGGTAAAGAACAAGCCACATCAGCAGACAAAAATCTGCAAAGTTATTGCCACTGCACATCACCATTAATGCAGCCCATCACAGCATTTATTACGACAACATCTCTCCGTTGGAGCAGCACCCCCTTACCCTGAACAAGGTAAGCTACAGCATAGACTTTCGGCCAAGATGGCAGGTCGGAAGGGACAGCGAAATGATGACCAAAGGATATAAGCAAACGTTGAAGACAAGAAGAAGGCTAAGTTTTTCTATCTCCAATTCATCTCTCTACATTTCACTTCTCTCTCTCTCTAACTTGCTCGTCGGAGGGTTCGCTAGGGGACTCCCCATTCCCCATTGAACTCCTGTGCAGGTTTTCTGGTAGGCTTGAACACTCAGTTACCAGTTGAAGAAGCGTGGATTAGTCCTACCCATTCCACCTGGGACCCGTTGTATAGTAATTGTATCATCAGTTGACGCCGTCTGTGGGAACACTTTGCTCCTCACGCCAGTTGTGTTCACTGTCGCCAGAGACCCTGTTCCAATACCCCTTTTCCGCTACGCATAGAAGTGCATGGTCACGACTAGATCCATGGCTTCTCACCAAAATGCTGCCGACCACCAAGCCGATCCCCCCAATCTAAACAACCCACCATAATATTTTATCGAGCTTACCAACAGCATTAACCGCATGGCCGAGCAAAACCAAGCCCTGATCAATGCCCTACTCCAAAGAAACCTTCCTATGCCCCCTCAACCACCTCCCGATATTTCCCCCAACTACGAACAAGCCCGAGCCATACTATTCCGCAGCCCAATCCGCCCAACAGAGAAGGTTTGCAACCCCCTCCTCCAGGTATAAACCTACCACCCCGGGGCCCACAACCATCGATCTCGCCACCAATCCTTGAAGGAGAGGCTAGCAGCGTCCAGCCCCCATTGCCCTCCGGAGGTGACCACATCCCTCTCTGGGACGCGGAACTCCGAGCCATAAAGCTCCAATTCCAAGGGGTCATGCAGAACATCCAGCATAAACCCTCTACCACAGCAAACTCACCATTTGTCGCCTCCATCCGCGACAAACCTCTACCCCCCAAGTTCAAGATGCCCACCATCGACTCTTTTGAGGGTACGACGGACCCAGTCGACCATCTGGAGACCTACAGAACCCTCACGATCCTCCATGCATTCCCTGACGAGATCATGTGTCAAGCTTTCCCCGTGACACTGAAAGGGTCAGCTCGGCTGTGGTTTAGCCAGTTACCAGCAGACTCCGTCTCCACTTTCCAGCATCTCAATGACTCCTTCCTCAGCTATTTTATTGGAGCCCAGCGCCAGGGACGCCCGGCAACCCAACTCTTCAACATTCGACAGACCGAGGGGGAGTCGCTACGCAGTTTTGTTACCCATTTCAACACCGAGGCCCTGCAAGTAGCGGAAAATGATGACAAGGTCATCCTCACTACTTTCATGGTCAGTCTGCAGTCGTCCGATTTCCTGTTCTCCCTCTCTAAAAACCCCCCGACCTCCATAGCGACACTACTCTCCAAAGTCCAAAAATACATGAATGCTGAGGATTCCCTAGCCGCCGGGCAAGATCCAATAAGCAAAAACCCGGCCCCCAGAGAAAAGAGAAAAGACTCAGAACCCAGAAACACCCAATATAATAGTCAAACACCACATTATACCGACCGGCCCCCCCAAGCTGACCGATCGGCACCGGCCCAACCACCCGGTCGGTTCGAGCGCTACACACCCCTTAACTCCCCCATGGAACAAGTCCTCAATCAGATCCAGCGGGACTACCCCCTTAAATGGCCCCAACCGTCACGAACCCCTTCCAATCGGAAAGACCAGTCCAAATATTGCCGCTTCCACCAGGACCATGACCATAACACCGATGAGTGCGTTAACCTCAAAAATCAGGTCGAGACCCTCATACGCCAAGGCGTCTTAGCCGGTTCACGGACACCCGCCCTCAGCAGAGACAAAGAATTGAGCCCCTCAGAAACAACCGCCGGCGCACCCCCCCTGGCAGCCAGCCCAACCTAACCAAGGCCATGATCACCCTCCACAGCAACCTCGGCCGCCAGGCAACCCCCCTCCACCTGTTGGCGAGATCAAAGTCATTTCAGGCGGCCTTGCTTGCGGGGGACCATCCCGCTCGGCTCAGAGGGCAGAACTCAGGAAGATCAGGCAAGGCTCAAACAAAGCAGTTGCCACGGTCGATCGACCCTCCAAACAGCCCAAGCAGTGGACCGAGCCTATCACCTTCACGGACGCCGACTATACAGGCATCCGCTACCCTCATGATGACCCTCTCGTCATTTCTGCCCTCCTCTCCAACTACAAGGTCAGACGAGTTCTCATCGACAACGACAGTTCTTCAGACATCATCTTTCTCAACTGCTTTCGCTAGCTCAAAATTGGGGAGGAAAGTTTGTCTCCTCTCCAAACCCCTTTGGTTGGTTTCACTGGCGACCGGGTCACCTCCATCGACTCCATTGATCTTCCCATCACAATCGACGAGTACCCATGGCAAACTACAAAGTTGCTCACCTTCCTTGTTGTCGACTGCCCATCCGCCTACAACATCATCCTTGGCCGCACTGCTTTAAATGTCTTCCAAGCTATCACATCAACTTATCACCTTGCCGTTAAGTTTCCCACCGATCTGGGGGTCGGAACTGTAAAGGGAGAGCAGACCGTGGCCAGGGAATGCTATGTTGCCTCACTAAAAGAAGTCAAGTTGAAGGAAGCTATGATCATTGAAGGACTTGACGTCCGAGATGAGGACGAGTTGATCAGAGGAGAACCCGTGGAGGAACTCATGGAGGTTCCCATCGACCCCACCAACCCAGCGAAAATTGCCGAAATCGGCAGCCAACTATCCCCCTAAGCAAAAGCCGACCTTACTGCCCTCCTGACTGAGCACAATGATATCTTTGCCTGGACCCATTCAGACATGTCGGGTATTGACCCCTCCTTCATAACCTATCGCCTCAACATTGAACCTCATTTCCGACCTTACCGCCAGAAGCAGCGCATCTTTCATCCTGAGCGCAATACTCTTATTGCCGCAGAGGTTGACAAGCTCCTTGAGGCACAATTCATCAAAAACGTGGACTACCCTAGATGGTTGTCAAACGTGGTCCTGATCTGCAAGAGCAATAGTAAGTGGCGACTCTGTGTCGACTACTCAGATCTCAACCAGGCTTACCCACATCACAAACCATTCATATTATAAGATCTATTAAATAGATCATGTATTCAAAAATCACTTAATCATATATCAATAATTACCTAATCTAATAGTATTTTTTTTTAATAAAAAATAAATAAATTTAATAGTAAGTATTATTTTGACAATAGATTGTTGATTTTTTAAGATAAATATGATCTGATTATATTATTATCACGTTTGATCATCTTATATTTTATATAAATATTCAGTTGAGTGAATTCAAATGACCAAGTCTACTACCGAGCCCAACAGCCAATTTTGATACTCAATGGGAGAGAATTCATCTGAGTCCACGTGGTTGGAGACAATATAAAGATGTAGCGCAGGATCCCATTGGTCCAAAATCTATCCACTGAGAGATCTTACACTTCATCTGCAGATTTCACTTATCCTACTTGGCTCCTCACACAGCACCCTTTTTGATCTCTCTCATCTCATCACTTGCCACATATAATGGAATAACAAGCTCATTGTGCATCTTAGGACAAGCTCAGGCAACCACCATATATATATTTAGAGAGAGAGAGAGAGAGAGAGAGAAATGGCTGCAACATCAGCTCCAGTGGGCTCTCCCTTCTTGTCCGGTGGGAAAAGAAGCCAGACGTTGTTGTTGTCTGCAACCATTGGAGCTAGATCACTTGGTGGCGGTGTGGTGGCTCCTAAGAAGTTTGTTCTGCTGGCTGCTGCTCTTAAGAAGTCTTGGATCCCTGCTGTCAAAGGTGGTGGCAGCTTCATCAACCCCGAATGGCTCGATGACTCGTAAGTCCCCTATCTTTTTGTGTGTATTTTCGTTCTCTGCTTTCGTCTTTCCAAGAACACATGAAAACTTATGCTCCATCGAAAACACTTTCCTTACAGACTGTAAAAAATGTTTCCTTAAAAGCACAACCCAATCTCTCTATACATGTGTTAAATTGAGTTACTTGATCCAGGCTACCAGGGGACTATGGTTTTGACCCTCTGGGCCTGGGAAAGGACCCTGCATTCCTCAAGTGGTACAGAGAGGCCGAGCTCATCCATGGCCGGTGGGCAATGGCTGCGGTGGTCGGCATCTTTGTTGGGCAAGCCTGGAGCGGAATCCCTTGGTTTGAAGCCGGTGCTGACCCCAGCGCCATTGCTCCCTTCTCCTTCGGCACCCTCCTCGGCACCCAACTCCTCCTCATGGGATGGGTAGAGAGCAAGAGATGGGTTGATTTCTTCAACCCAGAGTCGCAGTCTGTTGAGTGGGCCACCCCATGGTCGAGAACGGCGGAGAATTTTGCCAATGCCACCGGTGACCAGGGATACCCAGGCGGCAAATTCTTTGACCCATTGTGCCTGGCCGGGACAATCGTCAATGGAGTATACGTTCCGGACACAGAGAAGCTGGAGAGGCTGAAGCTGGCTGAGATTAAGCATGCCAGGATTGCTATGTCGGCTATGTTGATTTTTTATTTTGAGGCTGGACAAGGGAAGACACCTCTAGGAGCTCTTGGTTTGTAAAACTGGTCGAAGGTATTAGAGAGATTCACAATCCTCAAATTATCTTTTCAAGATGTGAGTAATATGTGAACAATATGTAATACATTGTGTAGTAACATATCTAGTATTGCTTCAAATCATCGTATGATCCATTAGTCTAACTTCAAGACAAAATGACTATATGTGAACATTTTAAAGTAAGTTGTAACACCAACAATAATGAAAGAGACTACTGGGCATTTGGCAAACTTCAATACAAAATGAGACAATGTAGAGCAATTAACATATTTTTTTTAAATGAAAACCAACATTACTGAAAAGCTACTGGGCATTTAGGTCATATTAATGTAGACTTTGTCTAAAGATAAAATAGATGCTCAACAGTTCTAACAACAACAAAATGGAGAGGTTGCCTTAGGTTTTGCTAAAAAAACAAAGGAAAGAAAATCAGAAAATCAACAGATACTGCAAAAATTTTAACAATATCAGTTGCAGACATCAATATCATTCACTACCCATAGCCATCAAAAATTCACCCTCACATACCACCTCGCCTCCGACGTATGCCTTCCCTTCCATCTTCGCTATTCCAAACCGTTTCTGTAGCTTGATGAGTGTCATTCTCATCACCAATGTGTCTCCTGCAATAACTGGCTTCCGGAATCTGACTTTGTCGATTCCAGCGAAGAAGAAGTTGTCACGGGATCCTCCCACTTCTGGCTGCAGCATGACTATGCCACCGACCTGTGCCATTGCCTGGATACAACAGTCATCCGCATCATCATTATTTATTCATTATACAAGCACTAACCCAAATGTTAGCAGGCTTATGCAAATATCAATTTAGTGATTGTAGACATATATACAAGTGCCAATTTGAGATAATGAACAAACAATGGTATAACCAGTGAGTTTTTCCAAATTATTGGTCCAAAACAAAGACTAGTCTTTCAAAATCCTACAATCAACTATCCAAAATACAGAATGAAAATATTTCCAGTTCTTTTAAAGGTATATCAAAAGTATAATATACCTCTTCTTAGATGCATATATTTTAATTTTTAGATGCTTATATTTCTATCAGATTACTTACAAATGTTTCAACAATCATTCAGTAACCAGAACATGTATGATTGTGAATTTGTGAAGAAAAATTATTAGTGATGCAAGAATTGGTCTTCTCTAGAGGAGCAATGCTAAAACACGCTGAGCTCTACAGTTATATCTAACTAACTAATATTGAAAGTTATTAAACATGCACAGATATAGGTGTGCATCCCATTACTTATCAAAACCCGACAGGCAGTAGCTCAAATAACATAAAGCTCCTAAATCAAGTCGTGGAAGGGTAAAAAACTAATCAAGTAATCAACTCACATGTAACTTCTAATCACACCAAAAATTTGTGGATTTGGAAATGCAAAACCGCACGTTCATCCAGATCCCTCACAGTTTAATGTGTGGAGTAGACATCAATTTGTCCTTATTTCACATGTATTAGCTATGCCAGTCCACAAGTAACACAAACTGAAGTTTTCCTTCTCACTATTATATGTTTCTTTCATATGATATTTCACATACTTATCAAAAAAATAAAATAAATAATTCTCAAAACAATATTTTGAACATTAATCAAGACAAAAACATTCTTTCGACAACTCTATAATAGAATTACAGAAATAGAAATATGTCATGGGATCTAATAATCTACTCTATATTATTTCTTTTTTCAGTACAGGTTCGATAATTTTACATATTAAGGAAACCAGACATTTTAAGGTACAGCCAGATACTTCAGTCAATGTCATGGGACTTTGCTCCTTACTTTTTTTTGAATCATAGTCTAATTCCTAAATCAGACTTATTCATGCCAATATGAATGAAGATTTAGGCCTCCTCCACCTGCAATACAAATTTCACCTAAAAGCCCTCTATGTTGACTCCAAGTCCACTATGACCTCATTTTCCCTAAAACTTTCCAAGAAGCTGCTTATTGGAGAATACAGTGTATTTATTTATAAAAAATTTAAATAACTAAAAAAATATAATCCAACTATCCAAAAAGAAGCAATTAGCAATCTTGTAGTTGTTCTACTGTTCAGTGATTCTAGAGAAGTCAAGTGAACACCAGCCGACTTTCCCAATTTTCAATAATGAATTAAAAGTGAAAAGATTCTTTTGCTAAACATTATACTATTAACATTCTGCAAGTCCCATGAAAAAAAATAGTCACAATTATCATATTAAGATTGCTTACCCTGTGCCCCCATTACACTTGAACTCATTAAAGCAAAGGATGAGAAACTACAAAAGAATCATATTATTGAACACGGAATCTAAAAACAGAAACCTTGTTTGGTTTTACATGACAATCTAAAACTTCTCCATAGTCAGTATTCTTGCTCACTATTGCATACTATATCTTTTGTAGATGCTATGCTATAGAAATTAGAGTGAACTAAATCTTAAACTATGCATAGGTGGTAATAATCAAAAAGAAGAATAGGCTTCAAGGGATTTTGAGGACATTATTCTTTTTAAACACTTAATCAGTGAATCCTACCTATTAGTGAAAATTTACCACTAAACATTCACAATCAAAATAGAACAAAAATTGTCTAGAAAAGGGCTCAATAGAAGGGGTTCACATACATCACTTGTAATAAAACCCCACTTAACCAACCTTAACACAATCAATGAAAAAGGAAGTAAGATAACATATTTTGAACCACACCTTGTATTAAATCCATTGCTAGAAGATTCACATTCCATGTTTCATGTATGTTGAGATTATATCATTGTTCACCTTTTTTTCTTTTCTTTCTTCTTCTTTTTTTTCTTCTTCTTCTTCTTCTTCTTTTTTTTTTTTTTTTTTTTTTTTTTTTGGATCAACAACAAAAAGAAATTGATTTTCAAGAGGCATCTGCTACCAAATACAATCCAAAACACATTTGCTACCAATAAATAAACTTTAGGCACAAATTAGCAAAATATGTTTTCTGATTTTCTATAATTCATTTCCATTTATCTACTCCAGGCTTTCCAATAACAATAGCATATTCATTGTGTAATGTGCAAGTTTGAGTGGATACACCGAGAATATATCCCAACCCAAGGTTTGCTGAAAGAGTTGACAGTAATAGTTGCAAAAAGAAAACTCTCAAGAATCATCTAAATCAATATGTGATGACAGAGTGAGGAAACACAAAAATCATTCATTTTTCAGTGAGAACAAGCCGATTTTATAGCTTATTAACATTTCTAGTCAGTGATTCAAGAGCTTCAAGAGCACAAATAACAGGCACAAAAATACCTAAATTTAAAAAGATAAACTCAGCTGCAGAATGAGCCAGATTGAAGAAGTGCTGACATTAGAAAAGCACCCAAAAAAATTCACAACTCAACTCACTAGCATTAAATAAGAATGCACTTGTAAACCTAACTCTTAGCCAATGATTCATATTAAGCAAAGGACCTAGGAAGCAAGTATGTAGCATTTACCTCAACCATGAGGACACCAGGCATAATAGGCCTCTCGGGGAAATGCCCAGGAAAGAAGTTATCATTTATTGTTACATTCTTAATAGCAACAGCTGAAACTCCTGGATTGTATTCAATCACTCTATCTACTAGAAGAAAGGGAAAGCTGACAAAAGAAAAAAAAAACAAAAACAAAGTAGTATAAATTTCCATCTACATGTAGATAATTTATTCAGAATTGAACCATAACTAAAAAAACGCGACAAGGGTTTTCAAATTATACTCTTTATTAACACAACAAAACCATATTTATGACCCAAATGTTGCAGAAAATGGAGCAGATTGGAATGCATTTACTGGTGAGAAAAAAGGGGTTAATTTCACTTGCACCCCTAAACTATTATCATTTTTCTATTTCATCACTAAATTATCAATTTAATCTATTTAATTCCTAGAGTTTATGTTTTCAGTTTGTTCGTACAGCCCAATTTGAAAGCCTGTCCAAGTCAGTAATGTGGAAACCTAACCTAATGAGCAAAAAGTAAATTTAAAATTTGGACAACCTAAATCATACAACAAAACACTCATGTTACTCGCTCTATATTAAATAGCTTCCATTCTACAGCCAAACAATCATCTTCTTCTCCGCCACTGGTTTCTCCTTCACACTTCATTTCAAAATAGTAAGTTTTAAAAAAATAAATAAAAAAAAAAATTGATGATTTAATTATATTGTTTTAAGTAGTTTAAATTTTGAAATGAACTTATTCCCATCAAATTACTCATTATTTGGACAACCATAATAACAAAAATTAGAGAACTCTAGGACTAAATTGATAGTTTAAGGATAAAATAGAAAAATAACCATAGTTTAAAAGGATAAATGTGAACTTGCCCAAAAAAGAAAAGGAGGACAGAAAATGGGTTAATTTCACAACTACCCCCTAAACTATCACCATTTTGTCTACTTTATCCTTAAACTATCAATTTCATTTATCTAGTCCCTAAAGTATGTTATTTTCGTTCATTTGGTCCAATTAGAGAATATTATACAAATCAGTAATAGTTAAAAAAGTTCATTTGTTGGGTAAAAGTTGAACCAATTTGATGGATGTTTGGTTGTATGTTTAAATTGTTTTAAATTTTAAAATGACCCATTTAACCATCAAATTAGGCTTCAACAGTTGCAATCTTCCTCAATTGGACCACATGAACTAAAGTAACAAACTTTACAGACTAAATAGATGAAATTAATAGTTTTGAGATGAAATAGACAAAATGGTGATAGAGTATAGGGGATAAAAGTGAAAGTGAAATTAAACCAAAACATAAAAAGAAACAGTTACCGGTGGGGCAAAATCTCGCGAATCTGATTGATATCAATCACGCTCGGAAACGCTGGGTACCCTGCAACAGTGAATTCAAAAAATTAGAGAGAGAGAGAGAGAGAGAGAGAGAGATGGTAGAGAAGAAGCAAATGCATACTGAATTCGATGGGAACTTCTTCGGTGGAGTTTTGTTTCCCAACTGCAGAACAATTAGATACAAAACAAGTGCGATTGGTCTTCGATTGGGTCGGGAGAATGAGGGATCTGGAGATGGAAGAAGAGGTTGTAGAGGAGGAGACAGAAATCGATCGACGCAAAGAAAGAGAGAAGTTGGTGTGGGTTCGGTGAGAGCTGAGAGGAGAGGAAAAAGTGTGGTGTGAGAGAGAGCTGTCGAAGCCATTGATGTGAGAGTGAGAGAGTGAGAGAGTGAGAGAGAGAGAGAGAGGTGTTTGTGATGGGTGGGTTTAGGTTTTGAGAAATTTATTGAGAAGGTGATGGGGGGAGAGAGAGAGAGAGAGAGAGGCGACAGTAACGAGGGGGAGTGGAGGAAGGTTTTTTGGTTTGGGTTTTGGTTGAACAAATTGAAGAAAAAATGGACGGAAATTCCTACGTTGGTGAGGAGTGGAGAAAGTGGTTTTACTTGTTTTTAGCTTATTTGTAGTTATTAAAAAAGTGTAATTTTTTATATATTTATTTATTTAGGTTGTATCAACCAATATCTGTTTCTTTTTTATTTTTTTCTCACTTTTTTATTTTTTTTCATTTTTTTATAAAAAATCAAAAATTCACGTATTTAGAATATTTCAAATCATCCCTAACAGGGGTTTTGACAAGAGACTAAAAAAGTCAAAATACTACTTTTACCTGTGTTTGGCAAGTGAGTTTGCAGGCTTTTTTGGCTATTTTAGCCACAAAAAACAAAATAGGCTATTTTAGCCATAACAAACAAAACATCACATCCAACCCATAATTATTACATTCTTCTCTCACAAAAAAACTCAAAAAAGCTAAAAAGCCTCTCTCACAAAAAAACTCAAAAAAGCTAAAAAGCCAAAAAGCCCTTTCCAAACCAAGCTTTTAAGCCCAGGCTAAAATAGTCAAAAAAGTCAAAAAGCCAAAAAGCCAACCCACTTCCCAAACAGAGGCTTTACCTCATTTTAAATCATATCATTTTTTATATTAAACAATGAAAAAAAAATAAAAAAATCTAGAAAGTCAGCTTTTAAATCAAAACACCCCTAATTCTCAGCCACCACCTATCTTAATTTTTAAAATTTAAAATAAATTTTTAAGAGTTGTATTTTTCTTACGAATTTGTAGATTATTTTTGATAATTTAAATTATTCACTTTATAAAACTCTCAAAATATATTATTCATGTAAAAATTTAATTTATTTAAAAAATTATAACTTTTTCATTAATCATTCTTAAATAATAATCCTTCTGGTCCTCTTCGTAATTAATTAGTAGCCACTCATTCTATCAACAGCATAAGTCGTTGTCTTGTTGGTGCTTGTTGGCCCCCCTCCAACGCCTAAAGATATCAAAGCAATAGGAAATTTTAAAAAACATGGAAAATAAAAAATTTAATTTGAAAAATTTAAACCAAACAAGTACATAAAATATGAGAAATTTGAAGTGTGTGCTGTGGGGGAGTGGTTCTGGAAATACTCTTTTGATCCAATGGGGCACTTGAGATCCTCAGCTAGTGACCTAAAAAAGAATGAACACTCTGGTCGAGGGTGTCGGAATTAACACTCCAACGAATAAATCAGTATATACTCTCTCGATTGCTTGTATCTTAAGTTAAGCGTACTAGTTCTCACATACCTTTATTTGGTTGATGTTCTTCTATTTATATCTTTTCTTGGACCTCGGGGTTGGGCCCACCTTTAATCTATCATGTAATTATTTACTCAGCCCCATTTGTTGCAAACTGCTCTTCATTCGGCTTTTTGCTCAACTGGTTATACGACCGATTAGGATACTTCTGGGTTTGTATAAGACAAGACCGAACATAATGCATATATCTCGACTCCCCAAACTCACTAATTCGGCCTCTTTGTATCCCCCGATACTCGACTCCCACAATTGCCCCCCAAACACTCCACTAACAACAGTTAGCTGGTGTGTTTGGTTTCGAACTTGAAAAGTCATAGCCGAAATTCGGCGACTAACCTCATTCCAACGCAGATGTCGGAGCTCACACGCATTTTGGTCATCATTATAACTTCTCGCCCCTTTGTACGCTTCTTCCATATATTGTGATTTAAAATTTTGTTGTCTTTTCGAATGCACACTCATTGCTGAACACTTGAAGCTCTTGGTGTGCCTTCCGATTCGCCTCTGCAACCTCCCTTTATCTCTCATTGTTTCCTTCGCTTCTTGTAAGTTCTCTTCCTCTCTACTTTGAATCCCTTTTCCTTGTTTGTTTTTAATTTAACGTACTCCATAAACTGACAAAAATGGCGAAGCATTTGAAAGACCTCCTTTTTGCGGATCGAATCTCTGACTTTCGACGCCATTTTTCCATCCCCGATGACGTCCATTTGTCACTTGTGACAGACAGTACCCTTGATATAAAGAGGGCTGATGAAAGCACAATCGTCTTCTCTCTCTTATCAATTGCAGAGGGCGGAGTCCATTTCCCCCTTCACCCATTCCTTAGAGTCGTCCTTCACCATTGGGGTCTAATCCCTTCCCAATCTAATGTAAACTTTTTTCGCATCATAATGGGAATTATAGAGTTAAACCATCGCCTTAGGATTAATCTCGGCATACTTTCTATTCGGCACTGTTATGCCTTGGCCAAGTCTTCTGGCCGGCATGGGTGTTATTTTCTTAAGGCCAAGGACGCCGACCATCAATTAGTGACTATGCTTTCCAGTTTTGGCAAGCAAGTCGATGACGTCATGGTCGTTGTCTGAGGTGACTGGAAATTCGGCGAAGACGAGGACCGCCTAGATCCTATACCTAGACGGAGAGGCGAACCAGGTGGCCACAGCCCCTTGTGTTTATTTTTCTTATGTTTACTCAGCTTTATCTTTGCGGTCTCATGGTTTTACTTGTGCAGGAAACGACTTGAAGAAAGTTTTGGTTTCAACCGACGACGCCGTTCTTGCGGAAATTAAAGTTACGCTCCAATACTTTGGCCGTCCTAGCCTTCAGAAACAGGGGAGGGCGGCCCACATGCTTCTTCGATACGAGCCGACGTATATGATGTTTTCAGCGGCAGAAAACATCCCAGTTCCGAGGGGCGAGGAGTTTCTTACGGCCCTCATCTTAACCAACTTCAAAAACTTGAGGCAAGTTGGTTTGGGCGGATCCGACTCGGAGCAGGCAGAGGTAGCTGAGGTCGCTGAGTCGCCAAACCCGTCTAAAGCCGAAGTAGATGAGGCTTTGAAGTTGGTCTTTAAGGAAGCCGGCCTCAACTCATCCAACCTGCCATTCACCTTAGGCCGAGGGGGCGTTTCCTTCGGCGACATCTTTGCAGGTTTAGAAGACCTTCCTGGCGCGTACCCTGAGGACATGGCTAGGTTGTCACTCACACAACTTGCTAAGAAGAAAAACGTCGAAAGAATGGCCGCCCGGCGGAGAGCGGATGCCATTCGATCGGAAATTCTCCCTACTGCCGATGCTGAGCCCTCCCAGCCTGTTGTCGAGGGGGAGATGGCTGAAACCCAAATGGCCAAGTTGGAGCGGGTAGAGCAGGCAAATCAGGAGCAAAGGGGAGAGAAACGCCCCGCTGAGGAAGAAGCCGAGTCAGCAGAAGAGCAGGTTGACAAACTGTCGCGCGTTGAGGAATCGGATTTGGTTGTTCCGTTCACTGTTCAATCAACGATAAGGAACATGCCGATTTCCTGTGACGCGTTGGTTTTAAAAGACCCGACTGTGGCCTTGAGCATGGTCTCTTCGATTTCCCTGCCGGCTAACCGAGCCATATTTCGGGCCGAGCCAGACTTGCTATCGATTGCGTTAACGACTCAGTCGGCTTTATTAGTACGTGTTTTTTTATGCAGTCTTCCACCTGAATACATATATATTTTTAATATTATTTAACTCTATTCCCTTATTTTGCAGACGGTGAGCAGGATAGCCAAAATAGGCCGCCGTCAACATGACACTATAGAACAGATTGCCTTGCTCAAAACTGAAGTTGAAAATGAAAAGCTTTATTAGTACATGCTTTTTTATGCAGTCTTCCACCTGAATACATATATATTTTTAATATTATTTAACTCTATTCCCTTATTTTGCAGACGGTGAGCAGGATAGCCAAAATAGGCCGCCGTCAACATGACACTATAGAACAGATTGCCTTGCTCAAAACTGAAGTTGAAAATGAAAAGAGCAAGGCTATGGAAGCCTCTCAGAGAGCCGATTCCGAAGCCGCAAAAGCGGCGGAAGAACGTGCAAGGGCGGATTCTAAGGCCGAGAGCGCGAGGAACTCCAACCAGTTAAGGCTGGCCGCCGAGGATAGGGCGAAAGTGAGTGAGGACGCGCTCCAGCTAGCCAAGGAGGTGATTGTCAAGTTGGAATCCAACTTGGAAGAATCAAAGAAGGCGAAGGAAAAAGCCGACTCCGAAGTTTCCAAAGCATTCCAGGCTGGACAAGAAGCCGCCTTGGAGAGCTATGCGGATGAAGTGCCCAAATTCGAGAACCGGGGCTTCAGACACGGCTGGCTCAAAGCCCTTGCTGCCACGAATGTGACATTGGCCTAGCCGATTCCATTCGAGCAAGTGGACGTTGAGCCGCTGGCGTCTGACCTTGAGGACTGACTAAGGTGACATTTTTAATTTTTGTTAGGCATCTTCCATGCAAGGTTGTAGGCTTTTTGTTTAATAGATTTCTGTTAATTTGAGATAATTTTCAAGTGTAAAATGGCTACTGTCTGTACTCAACTTACTTAATGAAAATCCTCTTTGCTTGAGAACTTACTTTGTTCTTTGCTATTATTTGTGCTTAAAATGTTTTTTGCTATTTTAAATAAGATAACCGTTGTCTGCTGTGCTTGCTAGTTATCGATCCAATAGGATGTAGGATTACGAAGTGCGCAAATTAGACATCCGCGACCACCTACCGATTAGCTAACTATTTTGGCAGTTTAGTAATTTAACCGAACAAGTGAAACGGCTCAAGGCCTCGTCGTATGGCCGATTAGCTTCATAAATGTACCCTTGTCTCAGCCAATGAACTAGAAAGGCCGAATACTATTAGCTCATGGAGTGGTTGAGGCATGCATAGATCAGTACCGGGCTTAGATATTTGGCCGATCAGATTAATAAATCTGCCTTTGTCCCAGCCAATGTATGAACTAGAAAGGCCAAATACTATTAGTTCATAAAGTGGCTAAGGTACGCGTAGATCGGCACCGGTCTTAGATATTTGGCCGATCGGATTAATAAATCTGCCCTTACCCCAGCCAATATATGAACTGGAAAGGCCGAATAGTATTAGTTCATGGAGTGGTTGAGACACGCATGGATCGGCACCGGGCTTAGATATTTGGCCGATCGGATTAATAAATCTGCCATTGCGCCAGCCAATGTATGAACTGGAAAGGCCAAAAGGCACACGTAGATCGG